AAGAAAGCCAGTGGAGTAATTCAATCTGAGTCCAAAGGCCTAAGAATCAAAGGAGCCAATGGTGCAAGTCCCAGTCCAGGGGCGGGAAAAGATGAGATGTCTCACTCAAGCAGGGAGGCAGGGAAAAAAAGAGATGAATCCCTTCTTCCTTCACCTTTTGTTCTACTCAGGCTGTCAACAGATTGGATGATGCCCGCCCACACCAAGGAGGGCAATCTGCTTTACTGAGTACACCAGTTCAAATGCTAATCACATACAGAAACACTCTAACAGATACATGCATAAATAATGTTTAATCTGGGCTCCCCATGGCCAGTTGACACATAAAATTAACCTGCACACTTCCTTTAATCCTTGAAATTTAAAGTAATTTTGAAAAGCAAGCTACCAAAATAACACTGCAGATTTTCTGATTAAAGCACTGCTAGAGAGATACATCATTGATAAATTATATATTATTGGTTTATCGTTGCTAACCAAATGAATGTCAACTCAAGTTGATTTCAGAATATATGTATATATTCTCTCTCTCTCCCTGTATGTACATATACACACACACACCCCATTAGACACATTGCTTATATTTTTAAAATTTATTTTAAAACAATTAAAAATATTCTACATGAGAATAAACTTTTTAAAATAAAACATAAAATTATAACAGTCTCTTCAAAGTCTGTTCAAAGTCTGGGAAAAAGTGCTAACATGAAATGAGTTGTTTAGTGACTTTTACCAGAAGTTTTTCATTGAAAACAATGCAAGAGCATAGTGATCTAATTTCAACATTTATACAATTAACCCAATATATTTATTGGATATTCACGGCGTGTGCAACTTTCTGTTTAGATAGTAATAGTTTAATCGAAGAACATGCTATTTAATTCATTGATTTCACACTCTATGACAGACATATTAATGAGAACATAGGAATACACACATAAAAATAACATTTCTATGGTCTATTAATAGAACTGATATGCATATTCTATGTCTAAGGCATTCATTTATTATTTGGGCAGCTTTTATGTTCCAGGTACTGTTTTATGAACCAGGTTTATAGCAGTGAATAAAACAGGCAAACATCTCTGTCTTCATGGAACTTACAATTTTCTTAGAGAAGGCAGACAATAAAAAAAGTATAGTAAGTCTGCTAAGCACTACAGGGAAAAATAAAAACAGAGGAGGGGTTAGGGCATGGTGTTAGGGGTGAGGGCTAGCCTCACTGAGGAGGTGGCTCTGATCCCTGACCAAAATGAGAGAGGAAATGAGCCATAAGGAGCCCATGTATGAGCATTCCAGGCATAGATTAAACGGTGGAAACTTCCCAAGGAAGGAGCATTGCTGCCATGTTTGAGTAACTGCAAAGAGATTAGAGTGGTTGGAGTAGAGTGAGTGAGGGCAAGGGTAATTAGAGAATAAATCAGAGAAGTAAAGGGGCCCAGATTGTTCAGAACATTGTGAACGTTGAGTAGGCCTTGGCTGTATTCTGAGGGAGATGGGTAGCTACTGGAAAGTTTTGAGAAAAGGAATACATTATGTGACTTACAGTTTAATAGGATTACTGCAATTGCTGTATTAAGACTAGACAATAGAAAGGCAACGGAAGAAGTAGAGAAAACAACTAGTTAAGAAGATATTGCAAAAATACGAAATAGAAAGGATGCTGGCGTATGCCAAGATGAAAATAGTAAAGGGATGCATTTTGAAGGACAAGCTAACAGTACTCACAAACTGATCAGATGTGGAGTATTAAAGTAAGAGAAGCAGCAAAGGCGACATTAAAGTTTTTGCCTAAGTCATTGAAAAGATGGAATGGCTGTTACCTAGGACAGTGAATACTGCCAGAGGGGCAGAAGCTCATTTTAGACACGTTAAGTTAACAGGGAGTGAATATTTTGAATGGCATTTATATATAAGTCTGGAGTTCAGGAGAGAGGGCCAGGCTAGAGCAGTAATTTGGGCATTGTCAAAGATTATTTTCTGGGGCATGTCAGTGTTCAAAGATAGGAAAATGGAGGAGAAAACCAGCAAAAGAAGCTAAGAAGAAGCAACCATGTCTAGAAGAACTAGACCATAGGATGGTGCCAAGTAAAGGCAAGTGAAGAAAGTTTATCAAGAAGGAGGAAGTAAGCAGATGTTTCAAATGCTTTTTAATATTATGATTTAAAATGTATCATTGAATTTAGCATGAAGAAGTTGGATCTGGTGCATTACGAACCATCCCCAAATAAACATTTAGCTAGCTCATGGTTTTTTGGTTATGATGATCCTAGTCTGACTTGGCCGATCTTAATTAGATTTGCTCATTCACCTGCATCAGCTGCCAAGTCAGTTTGGGGCTAGCTGTTCTTGGAAGTTCACAGCTGGGAAACCTGTCTTTGCTCCAGGTGGTCTCACGTCCTCCATCAGAAATGATGGTGGAGGCTCAGACTTGTTCATATGCTGGTCAGAGAGGGTTCCAAGAGAGTAAGCAGAAGCAGGCAAAAAATGTTGAGGCCTAGACTTGAAACCAGAACAATATCACTTCCACTACATTCTATTGCCAAGTCACAAGGTCAGCCCAGGTGAAGATGCAAAAATAGTCTCTGTCTCTTAGTGGTAGTCACATTGCAAAAGGCATGAACATGGGGAGGAGAAAAATATTGTGGCAATGGTTACAATTTACCACCGTGACTTTGTCAAGGGTATGCTAAAAATGAAAATGTATTTTATTACTTTTAAAAGGTATCACTTATTAATATTTAACTCTGTTTTGTGATGTCAAAACTGAAGTTATATCTTGGAAAGGAATATATAAAAAATGTTTTAGGTAATTACCTATTTGCTGAGATAAATTGATTTTATGTCACATAATCTCATGATCTTCTAACTGGGGCATTGTCTCCCTAGGAGCATGTGGTAGCATGCCTGGAGGTACATAAAATCCCAGGATAAGTTAGACACATCTTCTTAAAGGATAAAATTTAGCTTCAAAATGATGGGGAAAATAATTAATATTTTGAGGAAAATATTTAAATGTTATATGTTATTATAAGATTCTCCTGATTTTGAAGATAAAGTGAGGCTTCAATGATATTCCATGTTTGTGGCAACATAGGCTCTAATATTATGAGTTCAAGCTTCTAGGCCATTAGGGGTGCTTTGCTGGAAAATTTGAGAAAAATTATCGTAATTTACATGCCCTGAGGGTTTATAACAGTATCCTATGTTTTTACAGAAAATTTATGAGATGAAATGGTTGAGTGTACATATTTAAGTAATTTATCTGCCAAGTCACTTTAATTGTTTGTGCAATGTTAATGATTTATTTTTAAAACCATACAAATATATGTCAATGATATTGTAGAAATAGTAATAAAGTATAATTTAGAGAAGTAAGTTCTTAGTAGTTGCTTATTAATGAACTCCGGACAAGTTACTGAAGAGCAGGTTTAGGCATCCTCATTTATTCAACGGGGGCACTAATGCTTGAATAATGTATATAACACAACCTCCACAAGGATAAAGTGAAATATTGCATAAAGGATCCAAAGAAAGTGTGACTGATAATCATATTTTTATTAAATAGATTCATCAGCATTATGACTTCTGGTCAATATGTATATACTACATATTCCATCAACAAAAAAATGTATCTTAGATACTATCACTTATTCCAGATGACATAGGACTTTTAAAAATAAAATTCATATCAAATATTACAAAGACAACGTTTCAGACCTGTTTAAGACCTGGAATCCTTTGTGTTCTGGAATTGGTTTTCAGCACCACGGACAGCGTTACAGCATTGCTGCAATAGCAGTGACTGAAAGGCTGTGAAGACTTTAGTAGGGAGAATTTTTGCTCATTTTCCCCTCCCCAAATTTAAATGGTATTGTGAAAAAGTGGAAGAATGTCTGTCTTTTTATTTCAAAATTAAAAAATGGGGGCCTGCCCCCTGGCTGAGTGGTTAAGTTCATGTCCTCTGTTTCAGTGGCCCAGGGTTCACTGTTTCGTAGGCCCGGGTGTGGACCTATACATCATTCATCAAGCCTTGCTGTGGCAGCATCCCACACGGAAGAACTAGAAGGACCTACAACCAAGATATACAACTATGTACTGGGGCTTTGGGGAGACAAAAAAAAGAGGAAGTTTGGCAACAGATGTTAGCTCAGGGCCAATCTTCCTCACCAAAAAACAAACAAAAAAAGAATCAAAGCTTCACGATTGACCATGGGAATATTAATTAAACAAATATATATTGAGCACATAATATGCTTAATATAACTGGTGTTATTTACCAAAAAATTCTCATAATAACTCAATGTTGCTCTTATCTGCCAATAAGATATAGCTACACACTATAGTCCAGTACAATTATCAAATTTCATATAGCATGTAATTTGATATCTGTATATTTTGAAATATCTTAAAAAGCTTGAGTTGAATAAAGATTTTCTAGTTTGTCTTTTCCTAATTTCATTGTCCTTGATTAACTTTAATCCTCCAACATCCCCTCAAATAACAATAAGGACAAAATAGTGCAGAACTTCTCTAGTAACAAACACTCATACAACTTCTCCACAAAAATATGCCCAGTAAAGATAAATTTGACATCTAAAATTATTTTGTAGGAGATGCCTTACTTTTTCTGGTGGTAAATAAAGTTAAATAAGTCTTAAGCTAAGCATTACATTTTTAATGATGCTTGGAAAAGCTTCCATTTAGTTTTAAAATAATACAAATAAATTTAACTAAACCCCAAAAGTAGAATTACAAATTTTAAAAATTAATACTTTAATGCTTTATAAATGTTTAATTCATAATTAATTAAGGTAGTTGATTTCAAGTACAGTGGAATTATGGGCTATATACACTTAATCCAACTTGCTAAATGCAGCATTGCCGGAGGATCTTAAATTCAATGGTTCCACTTTTGTCCAGGAGATGGAGCTATCATGTAAGATGCTGCTTTATATTTCTTTATTTATTTTTTCAATTTAGCATGCTGCTTTCTAACAGACAGTGGGTACCATAGAGTGAGTGTCAGAACAGAAAGCTAAGGCAGAAGCAGAGAGGATGCTTCAGTCATCCTTTCTTGTTTTTTCTTTTTTAATGAGGATGGAACACATGTGAGATTTTACTTTCTGCTCTAGTTGAAATTCTGAAGAACTGCATTGGAGACTATTATATTCAACACGTATATGGATTCTGTGCTATGATTTACAATTCCCTTTATTTCAGGTAAGCCAACATGATGCTTTCTTTGGCCTATTAATGAACTGTTTTCTATGTTAATGATAACACTTAAGATAAGATGTGTGCTTTGTAAGCTTGGATTCAGATCTAAAAGACTCAAAAGCTCTAATTCTAGCTTTTCTGCATCTTTAAGTATTCCTATATTGAAACGAGCTCTGGGTCTAGTATGCTGTATTTTAATATTTCTTTGGCTTTCTGGCTGTTAGTGTCCATCTGTGGCCATATTTGTGTACCTTTTGAAGGTAAAGCTTTCAAAGTGAAGGATGGGTTTTCCTCTCACAAGGGAAATAGTGCTCCTTAATGTGGTGAACAAATTGTAGAGATGTAATGAAGCAGATTAACATGGCAGTGGCTTTGCAAAGCCCAGGGCTGAGCCTTCTGATAGCAGCCTCAGAGGCACATCCACATCCTGAGTCCAAAGGCCTTCTGAGCAATTCCTGCCAGTAATGATGGTACAGATTATTTACGCTTTTGTTCCCTTTTAGAAAAAACATATATATCATTTCTCCCACATGAATGGAAGGTTTGTGTAATATATTTAGTAGACTCAGAATGATAGTACAGATCCTTTCCCCGCCCCCAGCATCGATGTAAGGAGTAAACCGAAACAGATTAATTGCTGAGAAAATGGAATTTTCTTAGATTTTGGTGGATTTGTGATGCCTTTTAAAATAGTTGACATTGTAAAGGTGCTCACATTTTAAATTATTTCCAGTCATGTGACATTAGCTGTGCTAAATTGTGGAATGACTCAGGAGCTAGAATTACATGCAAAGCCTCGCTTTTCTCTATTGCTTCTCACGTTTTCCCCTAAATCCTCTTTTTATTATTATCAAATTAGCAGGAAGAAAGCAATTTAGAAATCCTGCTTTTAAAAGTCCTGATTTTCATTTGGATCAATTTAAAATGAAATTTTAAAATATCTAAAAATTATTTCTGTAAGATTGCTTTTAAATGCTTCATTCTCTCCTCTTTGGAAAGAGTGATGTGTGTGTACGTTTGTGTGTGTGTGACGGTGGTGGTGGATGTGGCAGGTGGTGGGGGTGCATCAGGATGATTCTATCTTACTCATCGTTTTCCTATAAAGAGGTAGCTGTGCTGTGTCAGAGGTTGTGAAAGCTATGGGGAATGATTTTACAGAATGGTTTGAACCACCGAGAAGAAAGAATCGGTTCTTTTGAAATGTGGGATTTAGAAAGAGATTTAAGTTCCACACGGTTCTATATATACATAGGAATTTTTAGAATCACAGATTTTTTAGTGTTGATCTAACTCATAATTTAAAGAAAAACAACTGTGGCTGAGACATTAAGTGAATTTCCCAGAGCCACATACAAAATTAGAATCAGAGGCAAGGCTAGAAGACTGATTGACAGTTTTCAATGTCTTTCATAGCAGTAACACAGTTTACCCCTAGTGTGAACATATCCAAATGGCATATGCCAGATGTGCTGATGTTGACTGTGTGTGAGTGTGTCTCTAGGTGAATTCTATGCAATCGAGTTTCCTTCAGTGTACATGTTACTCAATGGGATGTTATATGCAGTCTTCAATTTTCTCAGGGCTCTTGACAAGGCAACCAAGGAAACAAAAACAACAGCTATGGAGACTCTTTGTTTCTTAGTGTTCTCTTTTCCCCATTTGATGAAGTATATTATTCTACTCTATGCCCATGAGTGATATGGATGGTCACATACTAGCTCAGAACTCTATTCCTCCTACCTAACAGAACGAACTGTACATACAGATTAGTTTATTGACCCTTGCGACAACATTATCTCATGTCTTGGCCTTCCCTCTTTTTTTCACTTACTGGACACGGGCTGCATCCTGCTTCTTCAATATCTTGAAAAAAGGACGGAATTAAAATGTGTCACTTCCACATACAATAATTATGGAGTACCATGCACCTACCAAGAACTGTCCCTGATAGAGATTGAGACATAAACAAAGGCAGGCAGTTTACTTCAGGGAGTTTAACATGGAAATACAGCTAATACTATAGCTCAAAATATCATAAACATCAAAAAGGAAGAATGAAGAAAGGTGAGACAGTGAATGGAACAGGCATATGAGCACCTGTCTTGTGGCAGGCATTGTTAGTTACATCCTGAGATTCAGAATAAGCCAACATTCACAATTTCTGTCCATGAGGACCTCAGAACCCAGAGATAATGCTTTTAAGAGGATGTGATAGCTAAATTGGATCTCTAAGGGTGAATTGGGTATAAATAAATAAAAACAGAAAGTTCCTCATTCCAGGTCCAAAGGTGAGGCAAACAAATACAAGGAAATAGGGAACTATAGGACATTATATGGGGAAAATATAGAGAATGGTAAATAATCCAATCTGACTGAAGCCTGAGGGTGATGTATTTTTTTTTCTGGAGCAGCGAAAGTAAGGATAATGAATTTAGCTTGTGCTGCTATGCATTTGACATACTAACACATACCCACACATATGGATGTTCTGTGAGAAGGTGAAAATTTTATGTCAGATACCATATTAGAAGGTAAAACTACATTTATGGATGTGTATGGAGCTGTGACAAGAAGTAGGTCACACATAAATGAACATCCATGGGGAATAAAAGAGGAGTGAAGCTGCCTGGGGTATAACTTTAAGATTAGGTGGAGTAAAACGAGTCTAGAAAGGATGTTAATTAATTGTGGAAGCATAATGAGAGAGGCTGGAGGAATAACAATGTCGTAGGAGGCAAAGCAGGTAAATTGACTACGAAAATAGGACTCAGGAACACTAGTAAAGCCATAAAGTGGTTAATAAGAGAATAGGGTAGGAGCTGACGGACTTCGTTACTGTTAAGTCATGGGTGGATTTTAAGAGAAGAGGTTTAGTGGATTTGCAGAGACAGGGCCTCAGACTGAGGACTAGATGGGAAACGAGAAAGTTGAAGAGAAATTTTAGATTTTAAGACATTTGTCAGTGAAAGGAAAGGGAGATAACATTTTTTATCTTGAGAGAGAAGGTACTGTTGAGGGAAATTTGATTTTAGTTAGGATTAGAGAAACCTAAACCCCTTCATAGAGTATGGATAGGAAGTCAGTAGAGAGAATTGAGGAAAGAAAAAACAAAAATATAAATCAAAGTCCTACAGGAGACAAGAGAGGGAAGGTTCAAGAATGTTTCTTCTTTGAGACAGAAAGAAGGGTAGATGATATAACGGAGAGCTGATATAACTCACTTTAGGTGCCCTGTTCTTGGAAATTAAATCCTTGTCTGTAAGATAAAATATCTCTTCTATTTAAATCAGTTGGTTCCTCAGAGAAGACTATTTGTGGCATATGGACTTTATGGAAGAAATAGTTAATTCTCAGTAGCAAAACACTTTCCAGCAGAGCATATTTTGGTTACATTAATCCTTGAATTGGAAACTAATAGCACTGCTTTGCAGTAAGCTTCTTGTACCTACTTCAGTTATTTACTTTTTATTCAGAATGACCAGTTTAAAAATAAGTTCTATTTTAAACTTGCATAGGATTAGACCAACACATATCTGTTATACATTTCTAGTTCGATTATGGAGGGCTGGTTTGCCAGCATCTGAATTAATTATTCAAGGTCCTGCCTTTTCCTCCCTCAGTTTCATTGGTACTTTCACAAGGATATGTGTAAAGAGAATAAAAAAAAGTCTATTTAATTACAGACTTCCTTCCCTTAGGCAAAGTAACCTGCTTTGAGAAGCTTCCTACCAGAAGTTCTTTCTTTCTCCTTTTCTACTGACAGTTCCAGAATCCTCATGCATCAGTCCCAGAGCCAGTCTCCTCTAGACATTCCCCTGTACTCGAGTTCCATGGGATGGGAATGTGAAGCCCCAAAGAAGGCACAGGCATGATGAAGAGTCCCACCCTTCACAGTGAGACCTTTGAAATAGCTGCCTTCTCTGTTCAGATTAATTCAATTCAGTTCTGAATTGGTTGGATAGAAACATCACTTCCTTGTTTCTAGACCTGAATCTATCCCACTATGTGGCGAAACTGACAATTCAGAGTGAGAAGGGCAGAAGTAGCCGTTTAGGTAGCAAAAGAGATACAGACGACTTTCCTATCTTCAGGGCTGACCTTGGGCAACACCGTGAAGGCAGATTTCCCCCTGGCCCTCGACATCCTCTTCTTCCCTCCTGTCTTTTCCTCATGGGGTGACCTCTAGATATCCTCATAACTACCTCACTTGGCTACTAAGCTTTATAAATGAGAGCATCTTTATCTAACTTCAGTTCCAGTTATTAAAATATTAAGTTAGAATTTAGCTTTTATTTGTGTTTGTTTTTATTCTGTTGCTATTAGAAAATTTGGGGTTATTACTGGCAGCTGTAGAACTGTTAACCTTTATCCATTTCAGAACTTGATGTTTATTTGTCTCCATCTTTTCTTGACCCCCAGTGTGAGCACTTTTGAAGATGTGGGTGGGTTGGCTGATGCTTTGAAATAGAAACACTAACTCAAGTTTAATTCCATTAACAGCTGTTGTGCACCCACAGGGGCGTCATGGGAAATACTTGGTACTAGAGTTTCTGAGGTGAATGCTAGCCACATGGCAAACCTAGGTCCTCGCTTCTTACCTCAGCATACTTTCAAAGGCATTAAATTCTGTTTGGTTTTGTTATTAATTCCCCTTTAAAAACATTCATTTTATAATGTTATAATTTTATCATGGGCCATAAAAACACAAAGCAGCTCTGAGAATAGCATTTTTTGAATTTCTGCTCTAAGCAAACATGATAGAAGATATACATTAAGGTCTTCTAAAATTTCTATTGAAAAATTTTTCTAAGAAGGGTCACAAATATTTTTAATATCAACTCCAAACCACTTTCAGGTGTTGCCAACAGAAAAGAAATCCCCACTACTTTTCCTGGTTTTCACATTTTTTGCTCTATAAATTACTAATGCATTTTCTTCAGGGCACTTTAAATGTGTTGATGATAGTTACGAACAAGTTTATTTCAAAGGGACACCAATTTGGA